ACATATACATATACATATACATATACATATACATATACATATACATATACATATATATTAGATTTTTACAACCCCTGGTAAGCCCCAATTATGGGAGGAAGCTAACTGCTTCCATCATCTGTCAATCGGCTCGTCACAAGAGTCCATCACGACAGAAACCCAATATTTTTACTGTTGCCTTTGTTATATTTGTGGTTTTTTTATTTATTTATCAGCACAAATACACACACACACACACACACACACACACACACACACACACACACACACACACACACATATATATATATATATATATATTATTTTATATTTTTTCTACTTTTAAACTGTACTTACATTTAGAGTCTTTCAACGCTTTAAGACAGGGAAATCAAACTATTTCATTGAGGGCTGCATCAGGGCTGTGGTTGACCTTGGGTGGGCCGGGTAGGGGGATGTGGCCAGAGTGGCCATGGCCAGCTTAATGTTACTCATGTTGGGGGAGATGTGGTGCCCCGGGTGCTCTGCCGGTAAAAACGGGTTCCCGACCTCCTGTAACCCTCTGCCAGCAAACATGAGCTTGGGAGGGCCCCATGTGGCCCTCTGGAGCTCCGTTTTCTCTGGCAGAGGCACCAAGGGCCGGTCCTTAGCTGTTTTCAGGGTGACCCAGCAGGCCAGATCTGAGCACGCCGTGGGCCGGATCTGGCCCCCGGGCCCTGAGTTTGACACCCCTGCCTAAGAGGAAGTATTTTGCAGTGTGATGGTCCAATTCTGACCAAATTAAGCAACTCAGAAACATGCATGCATACATATATAACACTTAAAGTTCAGACAGCAGCTCTCAATAATGATTGATGGTATAATATTTTGGAAAAAAGCATAAATATTCAGGTAGAATACCTGAATAGATTTGAGACAGATATTTGGCAACAAATATTTAGAGATAGCCTAGGTATATTTAGAAAATAAAATACGAACCCCAAATACATGAGATTATATTGGTTTACATAAAATATTTTTAAGCCTTATATATATTCACTACTAATGCTTTTTTAGAACAAGTAATAACCTAGCATTCTATAATTAATTCTAAAATGCTTGTTGGTGATAAAAGTATCAGGTATTACTTCTTTGTTTTAATTAATAAATCATATTCCAACATTCTGGTTTTGCTTCTCTCTTTTATCATATAATACTATTACAGTTTTCTTATTTTTTCAGTTTAGATGATAACATTCACTATTCATACAAATCATTATATTTTTGTCATATGAATTTTCACTATGCTATTTTTACTAGCATATATTGGAAAGGTTAAATTTTAAAGTACATATAAATAATATCACAGTCTCATGCTCAAGGTTTTCTATTAATGCTTATATATGCAGTTTACATTGAGACTTAGTCAAAGATTCTATGTGAATACAGGTTAGATGCAGAAAGTCATTGAAGCATTTTGTTTAAGTTACATTTGTCAAGAGTTGACTTAATTCATGGCCTGTTTGTTTCTCACAATGCTATATAATTACTAAAACTCTTGCGTTGCTATTGTGCCACATAAGCAGCAGTAGCTTTAACAAGTTCCTACATAGGTAGACGAATAAGTCTACAGCAATGACAGTCTACAAGAAGGCTATGCTTTTGTTAACAGTTGCTTCTCAATTTCTGGCCTGGTACTGAAATACAAAATGTATATTGTCCTTAGTTCTTAATGAGCTGTGGATTTATGTTGACTGATCATTGCTGTAGATAGCAATACCTGGAATCCTCTTTAGAGTTGCATTGACAACCAGATGGGTTACACAAATCCCTATTTGCCTCAGCATGCAAGGCCAATGCCATTGTCTAAGCTAAAATATCTGGAGAGCACCAGATTGTCTATCAACTTTAGAGAACATGGGTAAAATTTGACACAGCTGAGTTAAAAATTCATCATTTTTTTGTTTTGTTTTTCAGGCAACACTGAAAAATGTTATGGACTAAGTTGCCTAGAGTATGTCTAGACTCATATAGACTGGTGGCCTAAAAATATTTATTTAACTTTCTAGTAACATACCAAAATAGCTGCCTTTATTATTACCAACAAACCTTGTACCTTCTCCAATAATAGCTGCAAGCTGATTCCTTTTGTAGACATACTTATGCCATGCCATGCTTAAGATAATCAGACTTTAGAAATGTTCAATTAAATATTTTGTTACATTTTTCTTTTTAATGTATATATTTACTAATCATCTGTCCAAAACTGTGAGGTATATTAAGCAGATGTACTTCTGTCTCATGTGCGGTTGAACGTAGAAAAGTGAATATATACAAGAGGCTGCTATAAATCATAAGACAGCTCTTTTCACCTGTTTTTTTTATTTGTTGTGTAAACAATGTAATTCATTTATTTTACAGTAAATTTACTTTTCACTTGCTTCAAATAGTCTCTTCTCTGTTATTTCAGTAAAGAAAGAAGTAGATCAGTATATACTAATATTAGAAGAATAAAATCTGTGAATGGAAAAGTAAATTAAGCCCCAAAGTGTAAAATGTATAAAATAATGTTTTATTTCATGGCACTTGAACTAACATGAGAATACCAAATTTATTATTTTGATCTAATAAGGACAAAAAGCAATGTATAAAACAGAGCCCAGACAAAGTGGAAGCAAGAATGGATGCAAGGATATAAAGATAGAAATATAGTGAATGTTGTTGGTATAAATTTAATAAATATTTTATTTTATTTTGATTACTATTGCCTACCCCTTGTCTACACTTTGTATTTTCAATTTTTAAATTAAATTTAATAATAAAAATACAAATGAAAATAAAGATATATGCCCCTGTATAAAATTGATCATCTTGCAAAACAATAGCATGACTGGTATATACATTATGTGTACATAGAACTGCATTAATCAATGGAATTTGTAGCAGTCATAATTTTTCCAACACAAATTTCTCCTGCCTCTCTTTTGAAGAACATTATGTCAAAATCATACTTGACAATAAGCTTTACTGAACATAGATGGATTCATCCCAAGTGAACATGTAGACTTTTCTAACATATCATACATAAAACAGCAATAGATGTGGAAGGTACAGAAAGTTTTCACCTCTGATGCCCATGTGTACTACACAATAATAAAAACTGGACATAGCTACCATGTTCCTCCTAAAATAAGCGCTTGCCCTTATTTTCAGAGAGGTCTTATTATGTTTGAGGTGTAGGAAGACCCTTAACATCGGCCCACAGATCAGCTGATCCAGAAAGGGCTGGAAGCTCTGTCTCTGTTTCTGGCACACTCTTGCCAGCCATAGCATTGCTGGCTCTGTTTGCAGCTGCCACTAAAAGAGGGGGTGCGGTAGCTAGGGTTTGCAGGAGTGGCCTCCGGAGTCCATTCCGTTTGTATGGCAGGTGCATGTGGGGCGCGTGGAGCATGTTCCCCCTCTTCCCCCCCGGGAAATGGCAGGGACCAGCTGTGCATTCTTTTAAATATTTAGGGGAGGGCTTACTTTGCGGGGAGGGCTTATTTTAGCGGATGCGCTCAAAAGCCTGATTGGGCTTATTATCCGGGAAACATGGTATCTGTTCTGTCCCCCCTCCTTCGTTCGTTCAAAGACGACAGTCAGACAGACTTAAAAGGAAAGAACTTTATCAGCCTCGACTCACGCTGGCTGCGAGCCCAAAAATAAACATAAATAAAGTCTC